CACACACACACACACACACACACACACACACACACACACACACACACACACACACGCCGAAAAGAGGCATGGCTCAAAAAGAAAAAAGAAAAAAAAGAGGCATGGCGCACAGTGCGCACCTCGCAGGGGTAGCGCGTCCTCATGCGCTGCGCGCACGGCGCACCTCGTGCGCGCGCAGTCCGCATGGCGCAGCGCACCGCATCGCGCACCGCACAAATGCGCCGCAAGTATGATCCTTACGGTAAGAAGTGTCGAAGAGGGCAGATAAGGTTAAGAGCAACGTACCTCAAAATAGCTGCCCCCAACCACAGATATTTTCACCAGATGACCTGACGTCGATTGTGATGACCAATCATTGCTTTGACACAACCAGCATTACACCGCCGTTCCACCTCAACATCAATCGCACATCAGATAGTTCTCATCACACTGCGAAACACCCACTTTCACCTCATAGCCTTCCTGGCGATACCCCTCTCTGCCTGGGTCACCTGCTTGCCTTCCCCTCCTCACTACACACCGCCCGCACCCGCTCACCCAGCTGACCGCGTGCATGTACCACATAGGCAGAAGACAAGCGCCAGATTAGTGCAACTCGCCACAGCTCTGATACCAAAATGCAAGGAAAATGAGCGATGGCGAATTCCAGAAACCAGATAGTCGTGACCTCAAACCAAAAGCAGAATTGCAACACGAGTTCCACCAAATAAGAGCACAGCAAAAGCTCACAAGTGTCAATGTGGGAATAGTCTCATCATCATCAACAATGAACTAATGTCGATTTTCTATCTGGCGCTCAGCGCCCAGAGTACGAATGGCAGATCCTATCTAACCTATCAACAATGCCGCTGGTGACGTCAACAGCTCCCCGAAGTACGAGCAGATCTCGGCCAATGCCGTTCGCCTCAAGCACCAGGTATGTCTCACGCATCACTCACAACCTCGATCCCCCACACAGATGCCACGTGCACCCAAGGACCACCATGGGGCCCATCCAGCACCTCGCAGGCCAGCTCGGCTATGGCTGCCTGCATGTATCCTACTCGCCCATGAGAGCGTGGGTGCTTGCCTGCCAGTAGCGCAGCAGCGCTTGCGCAGCATGTAGCAAGTGCCCGAATGCCGAATGCGGAGGCAGGCACTTTCCTATATAGAAGTAGCCTGCCTGGCTGTGCTGCGCCCTTCCCTAGAAGCTTCCGGTAGGCCCCAAGTGGCTGAGCCCCGGTCCACGGGAATCAGGCACAGGGCCTGGGGTGGTTACCCGTGTCCAACTGCCAGCGGCCTGTGTGCAGTCCATGTCCTGTGTCTAGCCCAGGGCCTGCCTCAGATACATTTGGAAAAAAGGCAGGCAGGTCCTGGGCTCACTCAACCAACTGGTGCTGCGCGACTGCCTGAATTTCCAGTTGCGTGAAAAGCCCACAGTAGGCCTCTCGTCCCCTGACAGGCCTGCCTTCACTTAGGGCGGCGCATATTGCTGAAAACAGGGCCCAGTAAGGCTTATCAAGGCCTTGAGCCTCGCAAAGAGCAACCGCCTTGAGATATCATCGTTGAAGTCACCGGGACCCAATAACTTGGATTTTTTTTTTTCATTCGTCTTGTTCCACCGTTTTTTTTTTTTTTTTTTTTTTTTTTTTAAACAGAACCTCAGGGTTCTGGCTCCTACCATTCTGGGGAGCGACAGTCCGGTTCCTATTCCCCCGGCAAGTCAATATGGAATACATAAAAAGACTCACGCACGCTCCTCCCCATTATGGCTGAGAGGTCCGAGTGGGCGGCATTGATTACTTCCATGAGGA